TCAGGATGCCTCAATGAAAGGCACCAACTGGTTCATTAGGCAGAATTAAAGGAAAGTACTACCACCACACCCAGCCAGATTCATACCATCTTTAAAGGGATTTGAATGTAACAGAGCAGGAAGAAGAAAACCAGACAAGTTTAGACAGCATAAATAAGCCTAGGGAATAAAGATATGGAGCATATATATGGATAACTGTGGGTAACTATATTCTTCTACTGAGCTATCTTCCTGGCTCAAGTAACTGTATGCTTAAAATTATGATTCTTGTTCCTTTCCCATCTTAACCAGTGTATCATATCTAATAAGTAGTTTTATTTCTATGCAGCTGATCTGAAATTGACACTCTTATCTCATAGATTGAACTGGAGGTTCTCCTACCACCTGTATTAATGGCCTCCACAAACTGGAGAATGAGGTATTCAAAAATAGAACAGTGTTTTCTGTAGAATAGGCTGTAGGCTGGGGCTAGGGTCTTGGATAATTATGTTTTAGTTATTTCAAATTATTTGAGTTGGTACCCTCAGCTCAGAATGATAACACAAATACTGGTGCTGATGGTTTTTATATAGGCAAGAAGATAATCTGAGCATTCAGTAGTAGAATGCTGTGGGATCCCAGCCAAACAGCAGGAAACCTTCATCATTCTTTTCTTTCTCTCTCTCTCTCTCTTTTTTTTTTTTTTTTTGGCGGAACTGGGGATTGAACTCAGGCCCTTGCGCTTGCCAGGCAAGTGCTTATTCTACTGAGCTGTCTCCCCAGCCCCTTGATCATTATTTTCTGTTGCTTGTGGCTTCCAGAGAAGGTGATACCTTTCCTCGCTGTTCAGAGTCTGGCCAATAAGTGAACTCTTGGGAAGACATACCTATATTTTGTCTTTGTTTTGTTTTATTTTTTTGAGATAGGCTCTCACTGAAGTTCAGATTGGCCTTGAGTTCACTTTGTACTGCAGGCTGGTCTGGAATTCAATGATTCTCCTGCTTCAGCCTCCTGAGTGCTGGGATTACAGGTCTGTGCCACTACACCCAGCTGTATTTTATCTTTGAAGACATTTGTGGGTACTTAGTATTGCCACAAACACTAAAGGTACTAATACCATCTTTACAAACAAAATGAAGTATAGCTAGGTGTGGTGGCCCATGCCTGTAATTCCTGCACTTATTAGGGTAAGGAAGGGAGATCTCTGTGAGTTCGAGGCCAACCTGGGATACATAGTGAATTCAAGGCTACCCTGAACTGCAGAGCGAGACCCTGTCTCTATAAAGAAGGAAAAAAAAAACAAAAAACGAAACTGTAGTTTGGGCTCTTCTGTGGTCTGGTGGGAAAGACATGATGAATTGTGGCTGTGCATTGTGTTGCAGCTGGGAGGCAGAATGGGATGATTTCCCTGTGATGGGATTTACAATCAGCATAAGCTATGAGATGAAGAAAGAGGTTATGGCACCACATGTGCACATGCACAACACGTTCCAGCATGTCCGTACACTTGGCATGTGTATACACTGAGAAAAATCGTGGCAGGAAGGTGTGTGCCTAAGCACTGACCCCACTTCTTTGTCAGGGAGGAAACTGAGACAGTATATTCTCCTTCTCTGCCTGCCCATATCCCACATTTTCTTTTTTTGTTTGTTTTTATGTATTTAGCACAGGGTCTCACTACGCAGCCCAGCCTAGTAGTGATCTCCCTATTTTCAGCCGCCCCAGCACTGGGATTTCAGGTGTGCACCACCATGCCCAGTCTCAGTGGCCAGCTCAGTGGGCCTAGGGATGGGGTCTATCAAAGCATGTGGGGAATCAAACTGCACTTGCGTAAGCTGTCACTTAGTCTGCTGAGCTATCTTGCTGGCCACCACATTTTGTACAATAAACACATTTCTCTTGGAGACTTGTTATTTTAGTAAATATGGATGCTGAGTTGTAGGAAACAAGTTATGTGCTTTCCCAACCTGTCTAGGCAGTTGTCCTGCCTTCCTCCTGAAGTTGTTGCTTCAGCCTCACCCCACTTCCATCCCTTCTGGGAGGATTTAGCCACATCTAGCCAAAGTCTCTGAGCCTCCATTGAAACAGGTTACTTTATTCCACAACATTGTATTGTATTGTCTTGGTCTTCATTTGTTAGTTGATGGGCAAGAATTTTTCTGGAGTTACAAAAATCAGAGAAAGTGATACACCATTATGAATACATGAAAAGCACTGAATTGTAGACTTTCAGATAGTTATGTATATACATTATGTGAATTTTAGGTCTGTGTAAAACCTTCCTCCAACTTGTTACAAACCTAAAAACTTGCCTAAAAAGTGAGATATTTGGCTATCAGTGACAGTTATGTTATTTTAGTTTTATTTCCTCCCCCTTTGTCTTCATGCCTGTTGGTGTGATGATTGGGTGTGGTATACTGAATCACGGAACTTGGCACAAAACTAGCATAGTATCAAAGCTCCTTCAGTACCTAAAGTTTTAATTTTTCTGTCATGGAAGAAGGAAACTCTGCTCCAACCCTGCCTCAGTAGCATGTTAGAGGTTCTTGCTCCCTTTACGCTTTTATAATTACCTTTGTGATTTAGAACTTCTGCCTTTTTGTTGCCCTTACCTGAATGTGCAGCCCAGTGCATCTGGGCTTTCCCCTGTTAAGCCCTCTTTTTCCTTCTTCTAGCCTTGGGTAGGAGCTGCAGGCCCCTACCTGGACAAGCAACTGCCTGTGTCCTCTATTTTTCCTTTCTCTTGCTAATTCTTTGACTGCTCTGTTTGTGTCCTTTTCCCATAGGTATAATGGTTGTAGCCAAATGAGATAAAACTTGGGGTTTGTCTGTTTTGTTTTGTTTTTTGACAAAGAGCCATGTGTTTGAAATAGTGATGCTGGCTGGGTGTGGTGGCAATGCCCGCCCATGATCTCAACACTTAATGAAACTGAGGCAGGAGGATCATTGGGAGTTCAAGACTTAGGCTACAAAATAAAATAAAGGTGCCATCATCCTCAGGGTACATTGAGAAGGATTTTTTTGCGGGGGAGGGGGGTTGCTGACACAGGCTGCCTTAAGTGTACGTCTGGTAAGGCATGGGGAACTGGGGATCGAACCACTGTCCTCTGCCTGACTGCCTTTGCCCCAGCAGGCACTTAAACAACTGAGCTAACCCGCAAGTGTTGTGGTGTTCCCCCCCCTCCCGCCCCCGTATGTTGAAGTCAGTTTTAGTGGAAAGAACATGTCCCCATGTTTAGGGGGCTGTTGAACTCCTTGCTTTGTGGACTAAAATCTCAGGGGTGTTGTCACGAGCACATGGGCTTCAAGAGTCTTACAGCTGTCATCCTAGGGGATGGAATGTCATAGGGTCCATAGTCTCCTACACATTGAGTATGGCCCACCATGTGGTAATGTCTGTAATTCTAGCACTTGGGAGGCTGAGGCAGGAAGATTGCCCTAAATTTGAGGTCATCCTGAACCAGTGGTGCTGGGAATGGAACCCATGGTCTTGTGTGTACAACCGAGCACACTACCTCTGAGCTACAGTCCCAACCCTTTTTACTGTTTTATTTTGAGACAAGGTCTCACCAAGTTGCCTGGGATGACCTTGAGTTTATGATCTTCCACCTCAGCCTCCAAAGTGGCTAGTGAGTGTGGGCGACTGTGCTTGACAGGTCTCAAATTTTGTAACTGTATTTGGGTTGTATGTATAGATACACAGAAATGCAGGATGTTGTATCCACACAGAGAATGTACCACAGCTTGCAACAGAGACTTACAGCATCATTATGGGGTATGGAATGTCTGGTGGCGAGTGTATGTGTGGCAGAGAGAGGTCTTGAAAGGTACTGAATCATGCTGTGAGATATATATATATATACTTTTGTGAATTCACAAGAGAGAAAGTTACTTATTGAATTTAATTAGTGAAAATCATAGTTTTAAATTTAGTCCCTTTTTTCCCTCTTTTTTGGTACTGGGAATTAAACTCAGGACCTTGTGTTTGCCAGGCAGGCACTTGTACCACTGAGCTATAGCCCCAGCCCCATAGTATGTATGTATGTATGTATGTACGTATGCATTTATTTATTTATTGTACCAGTGATCAAATTCAGGACCTTGTGCTTGCCAGGCAAGCACTTATTCCACTGAGCTATCTCCCCAGCCCTAATAGTTTTAAATTTGGATACAACCTAGAAGATAGGTTAGCCATGAAAGATTAGATTAGTTATAAAAATACTCATCCTTACTTAACACTTGTTTGAAGGGAATATGATTGAACTCTATAATATTGGCATATTTATAACCAGAAAATTACATCATGAAAAGTTCTACAACCAAAATGTTGAAAGCAGCACAAAGAAGTTATATTCAGAAACCAAAATTAGCACAAGATGAATCTTCTAATTTAGCAGATGTTGTGATTCAAGTAAGCAGGAAGCTTATTTTTGAGAATACAGAACATAAAGACAGTTTACAAAGGCTAAGGACATAGCATATGTCAGGCAGTCCATAAACTTCATTTAGTGTGTGACTGCATTGTAAAGAAAATCAAATGTCTATAGGGCATAGAAACATCCTGGAATTCAAAGTGTACCACCTTCTTTCATAAAGGAAAACTTTAACAAAAAGATAATTTTAGGGGCACACAGCCAGACCAGTCTGAGCTAGAGACCCTTGTACTAGGAATGCTTGGACATGTTTACTCACTAAGTGAATATGAGCCACAGAGAAAAAAAGATGCTGCTGAGAACTCATCATGAAGGTAGATGGAAGTCACAGCAATGCACAAGGGCCATTTGTCCATCTGATGTTTGGGATGAAATCAAGACAGCATATTCATTAGATCCAAGCCAGGATCTTACTGAGACATCAGCCGTGAGTTCTGCACACAGTTGTTAGATGCTTGTGGTCAAACACCATGGGACATGTCACAGCACTTCATGCTGGAGAGCAGAAGATTGCTTTGATTTCTCTGGCTGCCACAGCACTTTGTGGTAGTCTTCACTGCTTCATATTGATGATCAGACTGTCATTTTATCGCTTCTCAGCCCTTGACTAAAATCAAGTGTATCTGTTCTTATCAGTTTAATATCTGATATGTCCTCTATCTGAGGACAATGCATTAAATGGATTTTTGGAGCTGGAAGATGGAATAGGAGCTTGCTTCTCCACTCCACTCATCGACCTGGTATTGCAGTACCTCTAGAAATGGTGCAACAAAACAAAACAAAACAAAACCTGTCACTTTGTGAATTAGTGAAGAATTCAGAGACCGGATGACTTAAGGTGGAATGAAGTCTTTGGGATTCTTGAAGGGTTACTGTGTGACAAGTAGATTGTGACTACTAGTAGCACATAAGACAGAAGGCCCCAAGATGGTTTGGTACCATTTGGTGAAGAGTTTCCGTATGGTTTTAGTTATTACAAAATGGCTTTGTGCTATGGGTGCTGAGAATTATAAAGAATAGATTTTTGGGGCTGGTGAGATAGCTTAGTGGGCCTGAATTCAATCCTCAGTTCCAGGGGGAAAAAAAAAGAATAGATTTTTATGCTTTTATAAGAAACTAACAAGGAAAAAAAAAAAAGAAAGAAATTAACAAGGTAGTCTGTCAGCTTATTAGGTGTCTGCAAGACACTAGTTCTCTTGAACAGAGACAATGATAATGTTCACGTTATAGTATGCGGCACGAACATTGGCCTATTTCCTCAGTTCCCTTGGCCTCAAGTCCCACAGAAGTGCTAAAGCTGGACCATATGGGTGATTGGGTTGCGCAGAGAAAAAGAAGCCCGAGTTTAGGTCTCAGGCTAACTAATTCTGCCTCACTCACCATGCTTCCATATGTGGGTGGCTGTTTCTCAGGGTTGCTGCTAGGACAGATAAGTTGAGATGGAAAAATGCCTAACATACAACAAGCACTTGATCAACTTTTTTTTTTTTTTTTTCCAGTACTGGGGATTGAACTTGGGACCTTGTGCTTGCCAGGTGGTTGCTTTTGCCACTGAGCTATCTCCCCAGCCTTTTGATCAACTTTTGTCTTATTTACATACATGCATATTGTGTTAGTTATTTCTTTGTTAGTATAACAGATACCTGAGAAAAGGCCTGGGCATAGTGGCACACATTGGTAATCTCAGCAGTTTGGAAGGTTGAGGCAGGAACATTGCAACTTCAAGCCTAGCCTTGGCACATTTGTAAGACTATCTCAAAATAAAATATTGAAAAAAGACAAGAGATAATAGCTCCATGCAAAGGCCTTGGGTTTAGTCTCCAGTATCATACATAGGGATAAAGGGTAGAAAGTTGGGGCTGAGGGTGTAGCTCAGTAGTAGACTACTTATCCAGCATGCTCAAGCCTTAGATTCAATCCCCAGCCCATGAAGGGGGAAAGAAGAAAAAGATTAATTTGGTTTAGGATCTTTGTATCAGTCTATGGTTGGTTAGCCCTGTTGCTTTTGAGTGTGTTGCAGGGCCGGGGAGATGGCTCAGTATGCAATCCCCAGTTCAGGGGGGGCAGGGGAGACAATGCTTTTAGGTCTGGAGCAAGGCAGCATATTATGGCAGGCAGGCTGTGTTGAAACAGAACTGCTCACTCGTGACTTAAAAAGCAAAAGAAGAGGAAGGCCCTGAGTCCTATGCCCTTTAGGGGCACACCCCTGTCCATAGTGACTTGAAGACCTCCCACCAGTTCCAATTTAAAGGTTCTATAACCTCTCAGTAATGCCCAGTTAGTGAATAAGTCAACACAGAAGTCTTTGAAGAACATTTGAGACCTAAACAATAGTGCATATGACTAAAAATAAATGCAGAAAATACGAATACTTAAAAATCTGGGTGTAGCCAAGCAATGGCCGTGACTCATCCACATGGCTGACACTGACAAAGGTTCTACAATCTGAGGTACAGGATCTCAGGATAAATCCTGAGGGGATTTCACTGACCTTCTCAGACCCCAAAGCTACAACTCTTGTTGCATAGATCCTGCTTTACCTTGGTCTCACCAATCCAGCAGAAAAGTATAAAAATGAAGTATAAGAAGTAAAGCCATGGCGTTATGTTGAGCTGTAGGGGACTCAGGTCAACAATTTCTGACATTGCCAGTGAAACGGAAGACCCAATACTATTATGGACTATTGAACTCTTTTAGAATATTTTGCTGAGTTTACACACCTATAATATTTAAATGATGGAACTTAACAAAAAAAAGGGGATACAGATGAATGTCCATTTTGTATCTGTGTATTCAAAGTGGTTAGGATAGATATGTTCTCTTAATGAATAGAGGGATTTGTTGTAATGGTGTTTGTAAATAGGAGGATATCATGTCCGCATCTTGTACAGCAATTAACCACTAGGAAGAATGTATGCAATGTGTTAATTATTGAAACTGTCCTACCAATTTGGTTTGAAACTGTCTCATTGCTATTTGTTTCTCAATAAAATTATGGGGGGGAAAAATCCCCCCCCCAAAAAAAAATCTGGGTATGAAGGGCCAGCCAGATGGTTTGATCCCTGGCGCTACAAGTCATGCCAGCCCTGCCCCCAGGGCACAATGAGACAGCAGCTGAGACTAGGAATGGTGGCACATGCCTGTAATCCCAGTGCTTGGGAGGCTGAAAACAGGAGAATCACTGTGAGTCTGATCTGTGTAGACCCTGTACTAAATACATTAAAAAAAAAGGATAAGTAGAGATTCTCCTAAAACTGAGCATGAACTGAATAAGGATTTGGAAAGTACATGTTTGGCTAACTACTTGCAGTACCTTACGAAAGAGATAAGTGAAATGTGAAGTTTGAAAACTAATTTGGAGTATGTGAAACTTACCTTTCAGTGCTCTCTCTATATAGGAAGATGTAACAGAAAATGCTGTTAAGGTTCATAGGGAAATAAAAATACTGTTATCTTTGATAAGTTTTATGCTAAAATTTTGCAGGGCTGGAGATACAGCTCAACAGCACAAGTGCCTGTCAGGCAAGTGCAAGGTCCTGAGTTTGTGTCCCCAGTACCAAAAAATTTAAATTAAATTAAATCTTGCCATCTCAGTTGGAGGTTGAATAGTAAAAACAAACTCAGGTGCAGTTTATCCTGTTATAGATGTACCACAGATCACATCTGTGTTCCCAGAAAGAGTAGGAACCACCTGTCCCAGCAAGCAGGTAGTTAGTTCTGCAGTGGGCAATAGCTGGACATCCCAGTTTATTTCCATTTTTATAGTCTGTGTCAGATTTTCCAGATTGAGGGCTCAATCACTAGTAATTATCCTTTCCCCCCTTTGGATGCCTGTCATACACAAAGCAAGTCTCCAGGGAAAGGATGTGTACTTCCATGTTTTCTCCTTGTGTTCAGTTAAAGCTTTCCAAACCCTGTCCTTCTGGGTATCAGTTGAAACTTCATTCATAGGTACTGACACATGGACAGTTGTATAGAAAGGTGATTAGCCAAAAAGGCTGTGATCTTGTGTTAATGGAGTAGGGAAGCTCAGAGAGGCCCATCTGTTTTAAGATTCTTCTTTCTCAGTCTTTCTGTGCAGCATTCCTTTCTTTAGGGTATGAGCAAGACCCCTCTGGAATGAGGCGGCTCCTAAAACCATCAGACAAGGTAGGAGTGATCATTAATTATACTGTCAGTTTACCTTGACTAAGAATATGACTAGAAAAATTGGTGACAAAGGTGTTTGGGGAAGAAGTGTATAGATTAGATCTATCCCTAGGGGTAAAAAATATGAAAATATGTGTGTGCCATGTAAATACTCACCAAAAGGTGACCTCAGCGGAAGACTATTTTATTAAACTAACTCTTATTACATACATTTTGCTTTTGGGGATGGGGTTTTGCTATGTATTTGAGAAGCCGGCCTTGAACTCACTATGTAGCCCAGGCTGGCCTCTTAACTCATAGTGATCCTCTTGCCTTAGCCTCCCAAGTATTGGGACTAGGGGTGTGGTGGCGCAGACACCTATAATCCTAGCACTTGTGAGGTGGAGGCAAGAGGATCACCTTGAGTTCCAGGCCAGCCTGGGCTGGCTCTATAGTGAATTTAAGGCCAGCCTGAACTACATAGCAAAACCCGCCCCCCTTACCTCCAAAGAGAGAATTACAGAATGTTAGAAGAGTAAGCAGGAACCCTGCCCCTCCTCCACCCAAAAAAGAACACTTCTATTCTGGGGAGGAACCTAGTGTATTTCTGTTTGGATACTTGTATCACATTAGATGTAATTATGAACTTGCTGTATTTGGAGATTAAATGTGTTTTAAGAAGCTGTGTCTGGTTGTCAAGTTGACAAAGAATGGATTGTGGGGGCTGGAGAGATGGCTCAGTGGTCTAAAGCACCTATTTGGAACAAGCTTGGAAAAGCACAGGGACCGTGGTTCGATCCCCCAGCACCACATGCCAGCCAGCCGCGCCCCCTGGTGGGCTGAGCTGGCCACACACACACACACACACACACACACACTAAATAAATGTTTAAAAAAAAAAGAATGGATTGTGATTGTGAACTTGATTTGAGTGAAGATTTTTTTAACGAATCAGTAAAGCTCTGGGTGTATCTTTGGATGATGACATGTAGATTGAGGAGGGAAGACACACCCAGCTTGTGGGTAGTACCAACCAAAAGGCTTGTAGCCTGGATGGAGTAAAGAGGGAAAGAAAGAAGTCTTCCATTTTCTTTGGAGGAGCTCTGGTTTTACCATTGCCTTTGGTCTTTCATCTCCAATTCCTTTGGCTTTCAACATAGACTTTTCAGCCTTCCAGGATTTATTTTTTTTTATTTTTGGCAGAATCAGGGATTGAACTCAGGCCCTTGCGCTTGCCAGAGAAGCGCTTATTCCACTGAGCTATCTCCCTGGCCCAATTTTTTTTTTTTTTTTTTCCCCGGAACTGGGAATTGAACTCGGGCTCTTGCACTTGCCAGGGAAGCGCTTATTCCACTGAGCCATCTCCCTGGACCCTTCAGCCTTCCAGAACACAGATTTTTTGGCTTTCCACATGGACCCACAGGAACCGCTTCAGTGTGCTTCACGCCTTCAGTCTTCAACTGGATCCTCCAGCTCTCCAGTGCACAGATGGCCATTTTACATTCTTCTACTCCTTATCTTGCAGGCGGCCTTCGTAAGCCTACCTAGTAAATCCTTTACATAATCATACATCCATACATCCATACATACAATATTAAATCTCAAGGCCAGCCTAAACTATATAGGAAAACCCGGTCCCCTGCCTT